AGAAATAATCACAGACACAGAGGAAACTCAATGAGTCTATAGACTCCCTTTGCCCAACCCCAAGCAAATAAATTTAAAGATCTAGAAGTGGACATTTTCTAGGAAGATATAATTTAACAAAACTTACCTCAGAGAAGATAGAAAATTGAAATTAACCAATTACTATAGAAAAAAAAAAAGAAAAATTCAAAGATTTACTCCCACAAAACACTACACCCAGATGCCTTCAAAGGGGAATTAATTATGTGTGTCTCCAAGAGCAAATCATTTCAATGCTATTTAAAGTGTGTCAGAGCTTAGAGAAAAAAGGAGGTGGAGAGAAGCTTCCACATTTCTTTCACAAAGCAAGAAAAACATTGATACCAACAACTAATGAAGATCAAACACAAAAAGAAAATTGCAGACCAATCTCACTTTATGATTTTGATGCAGAGACTCTACGTAAAACATTAGCAAATAAAATCCTCTAGCACATTAAAGAATATATACAGTGAGTAAGTGGAGTTTATTCTAGGAATGCAAGAATGGTTCAATATTAGGAGATGAGTAAAATAATAATTTCGATAGATGATGGAAACCATTGGATAATATTCAACAACGCTTCTTGATAAAATATTTAATGAATTTTAAAAAGACAGACATTCCTTAATAAGATAAAATACATCAGTCTTAATCCAAAATCCCACATGATGTTTAATGAAGAAACATTACATGCATTTTCATTAAAGTTGAGAACTTCAACATGTTCTTGAGGTATAAGTCAATGTAACTAGACAAGAGAAATAAATGAGAGGTATAAAAATTAGAAAAACAGTGGTAAAATTGTCTGTATTTGTAGATGATAGGATTCTAAACATGGAAAATCTAAGAGAACCTCAAAAAATAAATACAACAAGATAAGCTTGACATGGCCAGCTCAAAATAGAACACACAGATACCAGTAGCTTTCATATACACAACCCACCACCCATCAAGAGCTATGGAGGAAAAGAACACGTTCACACTAGCATCAAAAAGATAAACATCACGGGGTGCCTGGGTGGCGCAGTCGGTTAAGCGTCCGATTTCAGCCAGGTCATGATCTCGCGGTCTGTGAGTTCGAGCCCCGCGTCAGGCTCTGGGCTGATGGCTCAGAGCCTGGAGCCTGTTTCCGATTCTGTGTCTCCCTCTCTCTCTGCCCCTCCCCCGTTCATGCTCTGTCTCTCTCTGTCCCAAAAATAAAATAAACGTTAAAAAAAAAAAAATTTTTTTTTAAAAAATAAAAAAAAAAGATAAACATCTAAGAATAAATTTTTAAAATGTGTAAAATTTATATGAAAAAACATCTGCAATACTCCTGCACTCACAACATTAAAGATCAGGATAAATGTCAAGGCAAACTATGTTTCCCATTAGGAATTCTCAATATCATTAATATACACTTTTCCCTAAATTGATTTCTAAATGTAATGTAATGTCAATAAGAATACATGTATAAGTGCTATATATGTCTATATATTGAAATAGACAAACTGATGGCAAAGTAGTTCATACGGGAAAATAAGTGATAATAATAGGAAAATGGTTTTAAAAAGGAAAGTAAGTATGAGGAGCTAGTCCTACTAAATATTAAATATGTTTAAAAAGCACAAAACTAGGGGTGCCTGGGTGGCTCACTCGGTTGGGCGTCCGACTTCGGCTCAGGTCATGATCTCGCGGTCCGTGAGTTCGAGCCCCGCATGGGGCTCTGGGCTGACAGCTCAGAGCCCGGAGCCTGTTTCGGATTCTGTGTCTCCCTCTCTCTCTGACCCTCCCCTGCTCATGCTCTGTCTCTGTCTCAAAAATAAATAAATGTTAAAAAAAAAATTTAAAAAAATAAAATAAAAGCACAAAACTTAAAACAGAGTGACCCTGGGACATGAATGTATAGAAATATCAATGGCATAGGATAGGAAGTCCAGAAATAGCCCTTAATACATACAGAATTTATTATATAAAAAAAGAGACATCTCAAATCTATGAAGAAAAGATGGAATAATTAACATATGGTGTTGGGAGAAAAGGATAGCTGCTGAGGAGAAAATAAAGCCACATTTCACATCCTAGACCAGGATGAATTCCAAACTGAACAAAAATTCAAAAGTACAAAATTAAACCATAAAGTTAGTGGGATAAACCATGGGAAAATTAGTTAATCACTGGAGTGGGGAGGACTTTAAAAACTATGACACAAAATCCAGAAGCCATAAAAACAAGGGTTGATACATATAACTACATTTCTGTGAGGCAAAGACCAAAGAATGACAACAAAATGAGAAAAAAAATTGCAATTCTTAATACAGAAAAATGGTTACTACATCTAATAAATAAACAGCTCCTAAAAATCAATGAGAAAAAACATCAACCACCAAATAGAAAAATAATCAAAGGATAAGAACTGAGTTCAAATTGGTGCAGCCACTCTGGAAAACAGTATGGAGGTTCCTCAAAAAATTAAAAATAGAACTACTCTACAACCCAGCAACTATACTACTAGGAATTTATCCAAAGGATACAAAAATGCAGATTCGAAGGGGCATATGCACCCCAATGTTTATAGCAGTGCTATCAACAATAGCCAAATTATGGAAAGAGCCCAAGTGTCCACAGACTGAAGAAAGGATAAAAAAGATGTGGAATACTACTTGGCAACGAAAAAGAATGGAATCTTGCCATTTGCAACAATGTAGATGGAACTAGAGGGTATTAGGCTAAGTGAAATAAGCCAGAGAAAGATATCACATGATTACATTCATATGTGGAATTTAAAAAACTCAACAGATGAACATAAGGGAAGGGAAGGAAAAAAAAGATAAAAACAGAGAGGGAGGCAAACCGTAAGAGACTCTTAAATAAAGACAACAAACTGAGGGTTGCTGGGGGGGGGGGGGGGGGTGGGTTAAATGGGTGACAGGCATTAAGGAGGGCACTTCTGGGGATGAGCACAGGGTGTCATATGTAAGAAATGAATCACTGGGTTCTACTCCTGAAGCTAAGACTACACTGTATGCTAACTAACTTGAAAATAAAAATAAAAATTAAAATTAAAAAACTGAGAGTTCATAGGGAAGAAAATAGAAATTGCTCTTAAAATACAAAGAGATACTCAATTTCACTCATAACAAGAGAAACGAGCATTACAACTTCACTGAGAAAAGTTTTAAGTCACATACCCTTTGAGCTAGAAATTCAGTCCTGTGGGAATTTATTCCTCACACACAGTTCACGTATTGGGATAAGTGGTGCCCTCCCCACCAAATGTGCACCCGGAACCTGTGAAGATGACATTTTTTTGCAGATGTGATTATTAGGGATCTTGAGATGAGCTCCTGGATTAACTGGGTGGGCCTTAAATATGATGACAAGTATCCTTATAAGAGGCACAGAGACAGACAGGGTGGGAGTCAATGTGAAGACGGAGGCCGAGAATGGAGGGATGCATCTATAAGCCAAGGAACACCCAAGACTTCCAGCCACCACTAGAGGCTAGGAGAGAGGCATGGAGTAGATCTTTGCTCACAGTCCCTGGAAGGAACCACTCCTGCCTTGATTTCAGACTCCTGGCCTCCAAAACTGTGAGAGAATTCCTTACCGCTGTTTTAAGCCACCCAGTTTATGCGACTTTGCTGCCGCAGCCCCGGGAAGCTAACGCACTCCACCCAGAAAAAGAATGTCCTTCAAACATCATTCATCACGGTGTTAATCTGTAGTGAAACAAGACTGGAAACATGACGACAACTCACTGAATTCAGTACAGTGGAACAGTACGCAGGCATAAAAAAGAATAAAACCTCTTTACAGACTGATTTGAAATGTTCTCGAACAGTCCCAACAAGAAAGAGATGCCGTTCAAAATCGGAGAGTTTATTTACAAGGGACAAGTCAAGCAGGTGTTGACAGGCATGTAGGAGCCCAGAAGGGAGACAGTTGCCATTGGAGACAGCAGCAAGCTCTCACCCACCCCATGTCTAAAGGAAAAACTTCCAACCTAAGCACAAGGCACTCCAGAAGAATTTGAATCTGGTGGTATGCTGGAAGGCCCCAGAGGCCTATGGATGGACACGGCCAGCCTGAGGTGACCTCATGGGGATGGAGACAGAATCTGTCTCCCTCCCTCTACTCTCCCCACTGGCTGAGCCCAGCTGGAAGCCACAGGAAAGGAGCCCTTCCAGAGGCACTGCATTTGGTCCAGCCCCAGGGCAGGAGGCAGCATGGGGCACAGTAGGGAGTGATCTGGAGGGGCCTGGAAGCCCCAATATAAACTCCAAGACTGTTTTTACTGTTCTGTATTTTACTCCAAGACTATATTATATTGCTCTATATTATACAGAACATTGTAATATAGTATATTTCTGTTTCAGTGAAAAAGAGAAAAAGAGCATGCTGGATGCATTGGTTGTATGTGCAAAGCAGATCTGGACAGACCCCATTCTGCAAGAAAATGACTATATTTGATGCTATATAGAGGGGCCCGGGGTGTCCTGGGGAACAGGAATCTATGGAGGGAGACTTTTCACTATATACTCTACTACACTTTTTGAATTTTGAACCATACAAATGGTTCAAAATATTAAAAATTTTATTTGCATTAAAAATTATAAATAAAACTGAAATCTTTTTTTTTTTTTTCCCCAACGTTTTTAATTTATTTTTGGGACAGAGAGAGACAGAGCATGAGCAGGGGAGGGGCAGAGAGAGAGGGAGACACAGAATCGGAAACAGGCTCCAGGCTCTGAGCCATCAGCCCAGAGCCCGACGCGGGGCTCGAACTCACGGACCGCGAGATCGTGACCTGGCTGAAGTCGGACGCTTAACCGACTGCGCCACCCAGGCGCCCCTAAAACTGAAATCTTAAGACCCCAGTGTTAATGGTCTTTAAAGGGAGACCCCCAGACAGCGAGGGATCATGTTCAGTGAAAGAGAGGCAGGAAAGGTGAGTCTGTGGACCAGTCATGAGGGGAGACAGGAAGAAGCGTGCCCACCTGTCAGGTAATGCCTGCAGCACGGTGGGCATCAGCACCCCCGAGATAGCTTTGTAGAGGATGGAGTCACACACGCCGACGATGTTCACCACTGTGGAGGAGCCCAGCACGGGAAGCATGTGGGGCGGCATTCCTTGCCAAAAGTGCAGGAGGAAACTTTGAACCTGTATCAGTCCACAGAAAAAAATCATGAGGTTACAGAAGGTTCTCCCGACAGGGCCTGGGACCCCACTAGTCTGCAGTGGGGTCTTCTGCGTCCCCTGCTGCGGCACAGAAGGCCCTGTCCAGAGTCTCCCCCCACCCCCGGCCCAGTCCCCCTGTGTCCCGTGGCCACTGCTGCAGAACCACCTGGCCTGGCAGCCTGGGGGCTACTCTGCCCTGGGAGAGAGGAACAGTACATGACCCCATCAACCCCTTCACGCTCACCGTGGTCTAGGAAAAGTTAAAGGGATGTTGCTCTTAATGAGCTCAGAGCACTGTACTCACTATTCTTTGGGCCAGTTGGTGACCCCTGGGGGTTCTCACACAAAGAAGGAGATGATGTGGGATTGCTGGGAAAAGGAATGTATCTGGGAGGGAGGGAAATGGGTGCCACAAACAAGACTCCCGATTCAAGTGTGTGCACTAAAAATGGAATAAAATGCTGGAGCCTCTTCCTCTCCAAATTCCTCCACTTCCCCAAAGAGCCCTGGCCGGTTGCTGCCACTATGGGATGCTAGATGGTGGTACGTGGGCACCCGACCCCAAACACTAGTACAGAATGGAAATACAGTAGGCACTCAAGAGTGCATTATTAACTTGCTGACAGCAGGAGCTGCAGCTGTGCTGTTGGGTGAGCAAGCAGCAGAGTCAATGTCTAAGGCAGAGAACTCTTCGGGGGCCTGTATATGTCTGTCTTTTACTATGTGAGATGGACAGGGAGAGAGCAGGGCAGGGGGGCCTGAGGTGTGGGACAAGAGAAGGGAAGTGAAGCGAAACAGCAAAGATGGTTAACTGCTGTATATGATAACATTAAAAATACCTGGAGCTTAACTAACACTGGGGAGTGGCTCGTCTTGAAGACAGGGGACAAGTTACTGAATTTTTGTGAATTCTCATAGGCTCGACTTGGTTCCTGGACCACGTGTCCTTCTTTCTCCCATGGATGGGGACTCTTGAACCCCCACATGTAGCATTTATCCACATTCCTGGTTCCCTATCCACCCCTGATTCAACGCAAAAGACCATTTAGTCTAACACTTTAGAGGTGGTGTTATGCCAGGCATTAGCTTTATTTATTTGTGACTACTATATGCCTGGTACTTTGCATTGGTTCTCTCACTTAGTACTTGTAATTCTACCACGGCTGACAATCCTTAGTTCCATTTGGCAGAGATATTAACTTATTTGTCCGAATCCAGACAGCAAGGGAGGGAATGGATGAGGTGGAGCCCCCATCTGCCTCAGTCTTTCTGCCAATCTGTCTCGTGGCTAGTTTGTTCCTCTCATGGTTACTGGCCTTCTTCTCCACTCCTGAGACCCATCTCTATCCTTGGACTGCTGCTCACCCCCCAGCTTCCTGCCCTGGCCCTGGTGGCTTGCGGTGTCCTTCAGGCCCCTCTCAGGACTGGGGGGGGGGGGTCTTGCTTTCCCCAGGGGAAATCGCTGAGATCAGGCGACCTCAGACTCCAGCCTGGTGACCTGAGCTCCATCTCATCTGGGCAGGCCTTCCCTGACATTCACAGCCTGCGCTGGATGGTGGGAGGCTTGGGGGATAAGGATTGGGGTGAAAAGCATACCCCCTGACTCCCTAGGGGGCAAATGGTGGCTGATGATCAAAACCATGATCAAAGTGGTACATGAAGTTCAGGTTTGTAAACTGTGCAACTTAAGTCACAGTTCCATTTATTCTGCACTAGTGAAAATACTGCAAAGTATTCAGCCAGATCAAAAATTAAAACAGAAAATCTAGATGAGTGAAGACTATCTTCCAGAGTTCCAACTCTGGCTCCACTACCAACCAGGGGTATAGTAATATCTCCAAGTTCAGAGATAGCTAAGCTTCCTTACCTGTGAGATGACAATAAAAGTAATATTTACTGCATAGGTTTTGGTAAAGATTCCCCCAAAAGTACCTATTTTAGTGCTTGGCACACAGCAGATACTTAATAAAGGGTAGTGGTGGTGGTTGTTATTGCATCATGGAGACACTACCACTACCAAGCCCAAGAAATCCATGGACTGCCTGAAGCAGTTATGACCCCTTGTCTAAGTGTCTACGTGTCACCCAGCCAGGATTCCCACTGTGGCTCTGCTCATCTATCGTTGGGACACCTGGTGGTTGACTCCTCTTTTGGCCTTGGCTAGGAGGTGGCCAGGCCTCTCGGAAAAGGTGCTTTCTCTCTCCAGCACTACTATTCCCTGATCCCAGCTTGTCCCTTAGCACCATCCTCAGGCCGAGTTCTGGACCTTCCTGCCTGCCCTTCCAACACTACCTAAGAAGCTCTGCCCAGTTGATTCCTACAATTTGGTAGATTCTGAATTCATTTGTCTTTCTTAGCTCTCTGTGCATGCAGCCCAACTCGTTTTTTATATGTGAGCAGTCAATTTCAAACAGAAATTCTGGAAAAGATCAGCAGCTGTGTAGGTTAAAACAAACCTGTGGAAAATCAGTCTTTAGCAGACATCTGTCTGTTTCAAGCCTGCTCAAGTTGCATAGGGAGCCCTGATCAGTCCTCAGTCTCCTGAGCAGCCTTTTGAGAGGGGCGGGGGGTGTTAGCCAGTTTTGACCTCCCTTTCTACTCTCCACATTTCAGGCTATTTAACGTCCAAAGGTATTGGTTCCTTGGAGTAGGAAGGAAAAGGAAGGAGGGAGAAGGGTGGAAAGCTCAAGAGCAGGGACTTGGAAGTTGGGTGTGAAATGGACAGACATGGCGTTCTAGCAGGAGGTGGGGCTGGTGGGACTTCCCAAGGGACTGGATATGAAGGGCAAGGGAAAGAGAAGCATCAAGCCTCATGACTTGAGCAATTAGATGGGTGGTGGTGGCAATCTGAGATGGGAAAAACAAACTCAGGTGGAAAATTAGAGCTCTGATTTGACCATGTTAGGTTGGATGTCAAGTCAACTGAATCTGGAGCTCAGGCCTAAATATATAAATGTGAGAGCTATCAGCTGTTATGAAACGGAGACAATGATGTCTACCCCGTACTAGGATGCAATAAAGTCGCTGAGGAAAAATGCATGGCAGTGGGGAGGCATCTAACAAATGGAAACTCATTATCAGCCAAAAGGGAGAAGGTTTTCTTACTCCTGGTAAGCCTAAGTGGTGAAATCATCAGAGGCAAATGATGGAATAGCATTATCTAAAGTTTCCTGGATTATCTGCCTCAGCCCCCCGAACTCTCAGCCCTTTCTCTCTTGTCTCAGTGACACATCAGGAGATGATTTCCTTAACGTATTCTTAAGAATAGCCATGTAAATTTTCTATTTCTTTTCCATATCCATATTTACTTCATTATGAATATATTGGCACCTCGTGGAAACACATCTGATAGCTTCCGATCGGGGGCACTTAATTGCTACAGCATTGAAAGGATCTCAACAAAACACTAGCCACCAAAATACCTACTATTTATTATGCTCTGATTTTAAGATCAGACCCTTACATGAATTCTTACATAGCTATAATTATTATCTCCATTTTATAGCAAAAGAAATTGAGGCTCTGAAGGGTTAAGTACCTTGCTCAAGGTCACAGGCTGGTAAGTGGTGGATTTGGGACTCAAACACATGATTATCTGACTTTACAGCTCTTCTTGCAATGCAGTCTGGAAAACGCTTTGTAGGGAGTCCCCTACACGCAGACTGGGGCTCTCTGTACTCTCTTGACAATGCTACAAGTCTATGATATCTTTACATCCATCCATCCATCCACCCACCCACCCACCCCAACCTTCTATACACTCATCCACCCAGTAAATATTTACTGGGACCTTAAGAGTATGGCTTACATGGATAGTGTAGTAAACAAGCCAGACAAGGTCCCTGCCCTCAAGGGCTTACACTGTGATGCTAGGAGACAATGCACCAGCAAATAAGGAAGGTAATTTAAGAATGGGATACCAGCATTAGTTATAATCTCAACCCTTAAAGATCGTGAAGACTGGAAACAAACTACAATGCCAAGGTCTACCAGATACACCCACCATGCATCCATTTACTCATGACTTTTCTCAGCTGTGGGAGAAAGCCATGCCCCTCAAAGGGAAAATATCCCCCTTCATTCTTTTGTGGTTGGGTAGAATGAACTGCATCTTGATTAGCCATTTTAAAAACAGCCACCAAATATCCCTGCCAAGGAGTGGAAAGAATATTAGACTACTGGTGTCAGGTGACACAAGTTGCAGCCATGACTTTGGCTGTAACCAACTGTGTGACCTTGAGCAGGTCTTTTAACTCTCTGGTTGACATACACGATAACAGCAAGCATTGTAGGACCTTTTATAGTTTACAAAGGGCTTTTGCTAGGCATTGTCTCATCTCCTCCTCCTCCTAGTAATCCTATGAATTAGACAGGCAGGGATGATATTTTTATCTTTATCTCTAGAACAAACAATATAGGCTTTGATGGCAAAGCCTGCACTCCGAGTCTGGCACTTTCCCCACAGGAGTGCTCAGCCCTCACCATATATTCTGCATCCTAACTCCTGGTGTGCATTCCTCCCACCACCACCACCACCACCCCCCCCCCAGGCTGTGTCTTACTTCTCACCCCATTCTGGAGACCTATGGCAGTGGGTGGTACCATTAGATACCTGATGTGTTGGGATTCATGAATGGAATTAAGTATAATGAGATGATGAGAGTGAGTTGTGAGATGGATAAAGTGCGTATGAATGTAAGGGAGGACTGTCACTAGTTCTGTGCTTAGTATTTGTGGCGGAGAGGGACAGCTGGCCACGAGAGCTCAGAGCTCCTCTTCTGTGGTAGTAAACTGCTACCTGGTGAGGGAGCAGATACCCTTGCATCAAGGTGGGGCCATGCGACCAGCTCTTGCCAATGGAATATGGGCAAAGTGATATGTTTTATTTCTGGGCTGGCAAGGTTAAGAAGGGGGTAGTCTTCCTGGTATTCCTCTTCCCCATCTGTCAGCTGAACAAAGAGGACACCAAGGCTCTAGGGCAGGGTATGGCCACAAGGTGGAAGGAGCCTGGGTCCCTGAACAACCCCCAGCAACCGGCCTTCCCCCTGTGAGCACCCACAATGGGTTGTGACATCAACGAGAAATAAACTTCTAATGTATTAAGACTTGGGGATATTTGTTACAGAAGCCAGCGTTGTCTTCACTGAGCATGAACCTTCATTTGGCCTCATGTCAGTGATCTCTGGGATTATAAGACATAGCCAAACCACAACATGAGGGAAAGCAGTGATATTTCTTTCTTTATAAAAAAAAATCTACTTAAATGGTTGCTGAAGGAATTGGGAGATTTGAACAATCTCAGGAATAAAAGCCACGAGCAGGAAGGATGGCACTTCTCCACCAGCACACTGCTATCTCTTCTGGAGCTCTGTGTGGGGGCCAAGTGCCGGCACGCAGGAGACCGGACCACCACTGCCCAGGTGACTGAGGGAACAGCCCGTGAGTCAACTCAAGTAAGCGGGGTGCTCGATAAACGTTCGTTGCTGTGAGACACAGAGGCGAAAAGGCAGAGGAAGATGGGGGAGAGAGCATTTTGTGCCTTACGTCATTTCTTACCCTTCCGTCTCCCACAGTGCACACCCCCGAAACACACACTGGGGAACCTCTGGGATCTTTTCCACCAATAGCTACTGGTTTTTTATAGCCCCTCTGTAGCCTGCACTGTCCTCTCTCAAAGTCAATGTCACAACCTATGCCAGGATGTGGTTTTGGTTTTTTTTTTTGTTTTTTTGTTTTTTTTTGGCCTGAAAGCATTTTCTGTAAACAGAAAGGCCTCAGGTTTATGGGGTGAAGCGTGTGGCTTCTTGCCAGCCCTCAGGAAGGCTCTTTTGGATGGCATTTTAGGCAAGAAGAATTTTACTGTCTCTCTGGTGACGTAACTGGTACTTCATCCCTTCTTGTTTCCCCTCTCCGTTCTTTAACTGTAATATTTTAATATAAAAATCAAACGGGGCCCCAGGAAAAGACCAAATCCAAAATACAGGAAAGCCTTCCCTCAGTTTCTCTAAATCTCCAACACGAGGCGTATGCTATCCCTGCAAACTGTCTTCCTCGTTGGCCAGCGGGACAGGATGCAGTTCACTGGCTTGGTCAAGGACAACTGCCCATTCTCGTAGCAGGTCTGCAAAATGGGCTAACAACAGAGCCTGCTTCCTAGGATCACCGTAAAGATTACGGGTGCTCATGCACATCAGGGGTTTTCCCAAGGTCTGGCACCTAGTAGGAGCTACGGCTCCTATAATATTTTAATGCAGAGTATCCACAGCTCAATGCTTGTTGACCTACCTCATCAAAGTTGGCTCTTATTACAGTGTCCAGTATTCTCTGACAGTGCGTTCTGTACATCATAATAAAGGTAGAAACCTGTGGGGAGTGGGGGAGGGAGGGAGAGGATCAACAACAAAAGCATAATTAATACACATTACTGTGCCTTCGGAATTTCAGTTTTCAAGTCACTTATTCCCTGCTGAGGAGATGAAATTCACTTCACACCCACTCATCCTGGAAGACCCAGGTAAGTCTCGCTGTCACCAGTGGTGCTCTCTGACCCTGGGCTCCCTCCTCTGTGCTCCCATGGCACCTGCACGTCATTTCCCCATTGGAGCACCTGCCCTTTGGTATGGTGGAAAGCACGGGGTTTCTCTCTCCCCCATTCTTCACCTCTGAGACTATGGGCTCTGGGAAAATTAGAAATGGCATGTTGTTCAGCCTCCTGTATCCAGCATTATGCACAGCGCCTGGCACGTAGTAGAGTTCAGCGGGGCATATTAATGAAATTCTCCTCATCAGCTAAGACACGGAAAAGTTAAAACCCAGTGTGTACTTGTAAGAAGAGGTGTTTGCCAAAAATCACAAAAAGACATTCAGAAATTTCCTGGAGTCTGTCCAGCAAAAGAACTTCATCTCCAGCTCCATTTATCCAAGAATTTTAAAGCTATAGTATAGCAAGTTTGTTGACGGGGGCGGGGGGGGGGGAGAGAAAGCAACTTTGAGAAAAAAAAGTATTTACTGGTTCTTAGATTTAAAGCATTATTTACAGATAATCTTTTTGCTTCAGAACACAGACATGCATTCATTTTTGTATAAACTTAGTTTGCTTATGACATAAGCATCCGTCTCCCCACTTGGCTGTGAGATTGCTGGGAGCAGGACACCTCTCTCTGTTCCCACTGCCTCCCAGCTCCCAGCTCCCAGGGTGATATGCAGACAGTGGGAGCTCAACACCTCCTGCTGCACTGGGCTGCATCTAGATAGGTGCCTTAGAGATGTAGGTCAGAATTTCCTGCAAATACCCTTTGACCCAAACTATCTGATTCCCTGTACCTATAAAGACTTCTTTATCTATCGCACTAAGGTTTCACCACATCCTCTGTAGCGCATGGGAAAATAAACTTTATCCTATAAAATAACAATCAGGGTGCCTGGGTGGCTCAATGGGTTAAGCATCTGACTTTGGCTCAGGCCATGAGCTCACGGTTTGTGAGTTTGAGCCCCACATCGGGCTTACTGGTGTCAGCGTGCTTGTCGTTAAGTAAAGTCCACATTTTATTCGGATTTCTATCTTTATATTTTTAAACTCACCATTTTGCACTGAGAGAGAAAAAGAGAGGGAGAGGGGTTGTGTGCGTTGTGCGAGAGAAGAGAGAAAGGGGGGCCACCCACTCCCAGCAACACCTCAGACGTGGTCACCTTCTCCTCAGGCAGACTGGCTGGCAGATTTAGATCTTTGACATTTGGAAACTCTGGCAGCAACGTTCCAAGTTTGGACCGGGGTGAATATGCCACCGTCTGTTTGCTCACTTCTTTCTTGCCCGTCTCGCTCACCCAAGCGGCTCCTTTCTTGGAATACATCACATCATAATACTGGGAGCTTTCCTTCACTGCGATGCCATAGTAATGGTACCTGGGCCAGAGAGAGAGAGAGAAAGAGAGAGAATGAGAGAGAGAGAGAGACCCACATGTACTGTTACCAGGTGGAGTTTCCTGGGCAGGGGTACCCAAGACCACAATGGCTGGGCCTATCCTCCCTGGGCTAGAAGAGTTAATTCTCCTGTGAGACTTGACATCTCAGAAATCTAGAATTAAACCAAAGTTCCATGTTGCAGCCATCAATCAGGCAGGTAAAAATAACCAAAATTGCCTCCTACAGAGAATGTTAAGTCAAATACTTTGCAAAGCAGAAAGGGGGGGTGAAAAAAATTTCCATTTGTATTTAATCTCTTATATCTAGCCCCAAATGTGATCCCAGAAGTTCAGAACCGGAGTGTCCTTTTCTGTGGAGACCCAGGAAAAAGGGTGTGTTTGCAACTGCTAACTGTACCACCAACAAAAATTCATTTGGCCCATGTTTTCTTAATCAATAAATGGTAGCCTCAAAGAACCGTCTCTTTAAAAAGATAGACTCAGTATCTTAGTTGGCACTGAATGTAAAAGACTGAAACTTTTTATTAACTCAAATGGGCTTAATAACAGCAACAGTTTCAATAGAGACTAATGAGGGATGGAAGGCACATTTTGTTTGGATGTTAGCTACAAGCTACTGAGCACTTGCTACATACTAGGCACTTTGCAAACGACTTTACCTACTTTAATTTGTAACATAATACTCTGCAATAGGGATTACTACAGTCTTTCTACAGATGAGAAAATGGAGAGCAAGAAAGCCTGAGAGTAATTTGCTCTCTGTCATCCAGCTGTTGGGAAGAGGTTCTTCAAGATGGGTCTGTCTGGGGCGCCTGGGTGGCTCAGCTGGTTGAGCATCCAACTTCAGCTCAGGCCATGATCTCACGGTTTGTGAGTTCGAGCCCCACGTTGGGCTCTGTGCTGACAGCTCAGAGCCTGGAGCCTGCTTCGGATTCTGTCTCCTTCTCTCTCTACCCCTCCCCACTTGTGCTGTCTCTCAAAAATAAATAAATGTAAATAAAAATTAAAAAAAAAACAAACAAACAAACACGGGTCTGACCACAAAGCCACTCTGCTGCCCTAACAGAAAACACTGCAGTACTGCTGTTACAGACTTGGGAGGTACATCAGAGTCACTTATGGAGCATAATAAAAATACAGATTCCTAGGCCCTCCCTTCCTACACCTGCTGATTCAGAAGGTGGGAGTGGGGCCCAAGAATCAGCACCGACACAAGCACCACAAGCTAACGCAGATGCACATCAGTTTAAGATTGATAAGCCCGTTAGGCTGAGCGTCTGCATACATTGTGGCTCTATGATCCCCAGTCGGTGTCATTATCTACTCTTGTAAATCAATGCTCTTCATAGCAACTAACATGGTGCAAAGTGCTTTACACATATTACCTTATTCAATCCCAACAAAGCCCCTGTAAAGCTGGAATTAAGTATTATCCCCATTTTGCAGATTAGGAAACTAAGGACCAGGGAATTTAAGTCACACGCCCACGATCACGCAGTGAGTGGACACAGGATTTGAACCTCTAAAGTGAGCTAACCACTAAGCCAGTGATTCTCAAACTTTACTACTAATAAGAATCACCGACAAAACATTAAAAGACAGACTCCTGGGCTCCACCCCCGAAGATTCTGATTTAGTATGTCTAGATTTCTAGACATAGATTTCTAGTCTAGATTTCTGCACCGCAACGCTAATGTAAGTAACTCATGGTCCTCGCTTTCAGAAACTCTGTACAACACATCAATTACTCGTTTCTGCTTGTGGAGATGTGGTTGCTGGTGCATTCTGAGTTATGGAAGAGGCTTCCCGGAGAGGGGAGATGAGCACACATAACCTCCCCTTCTCCCCACCCCCCTTACTCCTGATACCATTCTGTGATATTTCTGCTTAGTGGGCATCTCGCCTCCATCTGAATGCCTCCTGGGACGAAGAACTCAGGCCCTCCAAAGGCAGCCCTGTTCATTTTGGGTCGGGACCGTGATCAGAAAGTTCTTCTTTGTGTTGAGCTGCTCTCTTCTTCTGCACCTTCTACTTCCCAACTGTCATAACTGCCTCCCAGAGAGCCACCGTCTGGGTGGGGGAGGGGAAGGTTCCGGGCTCTCCAGGGGGCCGGGCAGTTAGGACACGCCTCCCTAACCTTAACAAAGTTCCCCCTTTATAATCTCTTAAGATCAAGGTAGTGACAACACAATCAGATCATACCACTTCTTGATTTTCCCCAGCGTGTGTTACTGAAATCAGCAACTGCAGCGAAGCTATTGCTCTGATCACTTCTTGGTTTTTCTATTTCAGTTCTATAGACATGTCAACACACTCCATGGTCACCCTGATTGATTCTGTCAAGGTAAAAGTGCCGGGGGTTTTCTCTAGAAGGCCAAGTTGGACACTAAACCTTCTTGTTACCTTTGCACTGGTTCCTTACTGAGCTATCAATTTGACACCGCCAAATTGTTAAGGAAGATACCGCCCAATTTGTTAACTTCTGGGTTAAAGAAGACAAAAACAAAAACAACAAAAAATAAATAAAAACAGGCTCTCACATGTAGACAGAGGGAAACTTTCTCCAAGTTTCTGTAGGATAGGAAGCCCTTCTATCTTTATTATCTTTCTTCACTGTCTCTACTACGTATCTATTTCTACAGTCTATTTCTACTCTCCTTAGAGATGGGCAACAACGTATCTCTTCAAAGACTTGCTTCATTCTTCCAACCACCCACTTAATCTCTGGACTGAACTGCCCCTTGCTACCAGCCACATGCTTACCAGCAAATAAGTAAGGGGGCATCTGGTTTTGTACTCTATACTCTTCACAAGACTGACACCTCATTTTTAAGTTTTAAATTTTAGAAACTGGAATTTTTCTTTATGGACGAGATTTATTCTTCAGAGCAGTCAGTCGCCTTGGAAAATTATTAGAAATTTATTCCAAAATGTCCCCTGCTCAAAATTTTCTGTAAATCTCTTTGAAAATTGCCCCCAGAGCTTCTGAGCCACACACACACACACACACAGACACACACACACACACACACACACACACACACACACACACACACACATAGTCCTATTTTCAGAGCTTTACCAAAAAGGGTTTCTCCCAGTATGATCACCCACTTTCTTTACCTAACTTGACTCCAAAGTTAAATCCACCCTCGGAGGATAAGAATGCTGCCCAGGGTGGGCACCGGGTTGGCTCTACCAGTCGAGCATCCGACTTGATTTCAGCTCAGGTCACGATCTCACAGTTCATAATGGAGCCTATGTCAGGCTCTGTGCTGACAACTCAAGCCAGCTTGATTCTCTCTCTCCCTCTCTGTCCGTCCCTCCCCCCATTCAAAATAAATAAATAAACAAACAAACAAAAAGAATGCTGCTCAGAGATGGCAGCAGCAGGGGGGAGTGAGGTGACAGTATGGAACACACTGCTTTTGAAGTACCCTCAGGTTCAAGTGTTACTAGTTCTATATGGTTGTTTGTTTAAGTGTCGGTGTTTTTTTAAGTCAGTATGTGCCGATCTGCTACTCAACATGGTCAAAATGTTTAGAAATGCTGCATGATAAGGCACCCTCTAGTGGAGTCACCAAGTAATCAACATAATAAAGGTTCTGAAAAGTCCTGCACGAAGGAACCTGTTGAACTCAGTGTTTCCCAAACTTACGTGGCCAACAGACCTTTTCCATGGAACACCTGTTAACGTCCAGCAACTTTTGAAATATCCCTTGAGGCAAGTCTTATAAGTCCTGTGCAGTGAAGGCAGAGATTCCCTTCCCACCAACTCACACCTAAGAGAAGGGGTCCACGCATCCTTCTCACTTTTCAGGACTCCTCCAGGAAGGACTTCCCAGGCTACCCTCTCTAAACTAGGCTACCCTCCTGTTACTCTACAACAAGCCTCTTTGACACAATCTGATTATCTCTTTTTGATCTGTCTTCCCCACCAGAGCATATGCTCTGTGAGGGCAGGTGACCTACACCTCATGCCGCACATCCGACACACAAAATGTGAAGCAAGGACAGGCTGGTCGGTTCCCAGAACTGATGGCTGGGAGGCACTGTGCCCTGTGTACCAGGGCATGGCTGGACCTCTCTGTCCCATCTCCCCTGTGGGGACTGGTACAGGTTGGTTCTCTGCCGAATGGATACTATCAGAGCAGAGAATTCGTTCAGTGAAACAATCCAAGTAACCTGGAAATTGTCCAAGAAGCCACAAAGTGCTCTTTTAAGTGATGCCCTGGACCATTTGACAAACACATCTAAAGGCAGGGTGGCACTAAGTTGGATTCCTTAAAACAGCTGGGCCAGATGGCTCAGGGTTTCGGGCAGCCTCTCTCTTGGGCGTCCTGGGAGAGGGGGGCCTGTTGTCTAAAGCTCTTCGTGCCAGGCACAGACTTCCCGCCGGGCCTGTGAACTGAGCTCAGGATCAAAGGCCTGGGGCCCGAGCCTGACTCAGAGACAAGCGTTCTGCAGGCGCAATGGCTCTTGGTGCTTACTTGGACTGTCCTCGGGTCCCGAGTCTTCTGGTGGTCAACTGAGGAAACTGCTGCCTTATGATCTGTAAGTCAACACAAGAACCGGTTACCCGTGGGGAAAGCGGGGAGCACAGCGACTGATTTTACAAAAAGCAATCCAAAGGGGGAACGCACGTGTCCTTGATTGCAATAACCTATCAAGAGCCCATCGTGAGCCTGGAGAGGATACGGGCGTTGGGGAGCTGGGAGGGGAGCACTGGAGTAACTGTGAGGCCCTGTACTCTGAAAGGGTCTCACTTGGCTGCTCTGTGCTTCCCCCCCACCCCCACTACTCACAATGTAGGGGGAGTACTGGCTGATCCAGAACATGTCACTGCCCTGCTTAGAGCCTTCCAATGGACTCCATCGCGCCTGGGACAAAAACCCACCCTCAGTCTCTTTAACGAGTCCCTGCTCTTACCTCCTGGCCTTCCTCTCCTATGACTCACCCTTACTCACCAGACTCCAGCCACGCTGGCTTTTTTTTTCTTTTTCTTTTTTACTATTCCTGAGACACACTAGACTCACTGCCCACTGGGGCCTTTGTAGGACAGCTCCCTCTGCCAGGAGTGCAACTTCATCACATCCTCACGGGACGGACTCCTTTTCTTACAACATCCAGGCCTCTGCCCAGAGGCCTCCTCTAACGAGCCAGCAGGAGTAGCACAAGCAATCCTTTATCATCCCGTGGCCCTGCTTTGCATGGTCTTCTTCTCACTCCGCACTCTCTGAAATTACCTTGTTCACGTACTCTCTGCGTGCCTATTTTATGTCTCCCCCTACCTCAGCGTAAGCTCCTTGGGAACAGGCACCTGGCCCAGGGCTTGGCCCAGGTGAGGAGCTCAAACCATGCTGCTGAATGGAGGAATGAAGCCCGACCTCTGCCCCAAGGGTATATCCTTGACTCTTCTGCAGTGTTGCCCAGGATATTCATATGGATTTGCAAGGAACCTGGGAGGAGAGGCCGTGTGCCAAATAAAGGCACAACCGACAGGCCTCATCCTTGGTGTTTACAGAGATGATGTTTGTGGATAGGCGGGATAATGCAGGGGTTCCGTGTGAGGGCTTTGGAACTCGGCTCCCTGGATTAGACAGATCCAAACTTAGCCATTTGTTAGCTGGGGACCCTTATTTAGGCATTCAAATGGCTCAGTTTCTTCATTTGTAAAATGTGTATGATAAGCCCTACCTTAGAGAATTCTTGTAAAATCTATAAGTAAACATATGTGGATAATTTGCAACAATGCCTTGCACTCAGTAAGGGCTCAATAAACGTTACCCATTATTGCCACTGACTGTCCTGATCATTCATTCCTTTTTACTTCCACAGACTACTTCTGAAGTCCCAGCAAATTCTTCCAGCTTCCCTCCCCTTTTAGAACAGCACCACGCGGGTAGGCACGGTCAGGGAGACCCCACGCGCAAGCTGCCCTTGGTGAGATGAGACACGCCTGCCGACTTCCCTGGCGAGGCATGAACATACAGTGCCTTCTCAGAGACAGGGATGAGTCTCTCCTGACCCAGCACACCCTCTCCCATCCACACTGGTATTCTCAGTGACTGACCTCTCAGTAATTCAACTGACATTTACTGTGACCCTGTTAGTTATTTGAACATGGAGGTGCTGTTTAACCTCTCTGATGTCTGGGGACTCAGGGGTTTATATATTCATCCCCAGGGGCACCCAGGTAGCTCAGTAGGTTATACGTCTGACTTCGGCTCAGGTCATGATCTCACAGTTTGTGAATTCAAGCCCTGTGTTGGGCTCTGGGCTGACAGTTGGAGCCTGGAGCCTGGAGCCTGGAGCCTGCTTTGGATCCTGTGTCTCCTTCTCTCTCTCTGCCCCTCCCTCTCTCTCTCAAAAAATGAATAGACAGTTTTTAAAAATTACATACTCATCCCCAGATCAGAGGGATAGGTGCTGGTGGCCTCAACTAAATTGGCATCAGTGGCATGGAAGGAAGTGGACAGAGAATCTGGAATGGGTGAAGTAAGGATCGACCATTTCTGTACATTGGGAAGCTACCTCCGGTGTGAATAATGGAGCAGCATTTCCTCATCTGAAAATGGGTGTAAAAGATGCATTCCTTAAAAGGATGGTTAGAAAATCTAATAAGATAACATGACGATACTACTTTGGGAAATAAAAAAGGCCTTCTAAAATGTTTGCTCACAGCGATGATACTGTTTCAGAATTCTCTGAAATTTTTCTGTATTGACAGAGACAGCCCTGGTTTCTCTCACCCTCACTCCCATAAGCTGAGGATATGGGTCCTCACTTGGACTACGTCCCTCTCAAAATGCTGTGACCTGAGGGAAATGCAGTATTCGGGGTGGGGTCTCAGCGACAGCACTCTGCCCCAAGGTGCGTACCACGGTTTTAGTGGCCTCACCACCTCCGGCCAAGTACACCCTCCAGACTTTCATCACAGAACTGATTTCAGAGCCAAGATATGAAGTAGCTGTTCACAACGGTACAAACCTGAACGGCTACAGATATGCTGATACAGGTCGAGGGAAAATAACACAAAGCGTGACACGAAGTCCAGGTTAAAAGTGGGTTATGATTTGGGTTCAGAGTTTGCTACCTGACCAATACAGTAAAGTCACGGGAGTCCCAGTACCCATCAGATAAACACACACTAGCTGCCTAGGAAGAGCAGAGATCTTTTTTGCATGTTGGTCTAGGACATTTCCCCCATACTGCAGGCACGACAGTGAGGTACCATGTTTAATGCTCTGATATTAGCAGGCATTTGGAAAATGATACTACCGAGTGCAAAGGTGTGGCAAAACTGAAACTCTCAAAGATTGCTCATGACATTATTTATTATCGTACTACCACTCCCCAAACATTATTACGATACATCTCACGAACCACAAAATATTCATACTTTTTGATCTATGAATTCCAAGGAAGTAATCTGAAACATGAAGAAGCTATGTGCAGGGTTACTAATAAGAGAGAAAAATTAGAAGCAGCATTAAGGGTCCAATGACAGGGAGCTGGCTAAATAAATGATCATATATACATTCAACAGACTGTTATGCAGGTGTTAAAAACGACGGTAACAAAAATTATGTCACGGCACAGAAAACTTATGTATGACATGATGTTAAATAAAAATAGTATACCTCAAAACTATTTATACTATGCTTATAGTTTGTTTTTACAAATATAGGAAATGGAAAAGGAACGTGGAAAAGTAAAAATGGGTGTCTATTAAGGTGGTAGGATTGTTATGAGGACAAAAAGATTTTTGTACAGCATTTGTGTACAAGATCAACATTTTTTCCAGATAGAAAAGGATTTTCTCATTAGAAATATTTCTAGGGGCACCTGGGTGGCGCAGTTGGCTAAGTGTCCAACTTCAGCTCAGGTCATGATCTCACAGTTTGTGAGTTCAAGCCCCGCGTCAGGCTCTGTGCTGACAGCTTGCTCAGAGCCTGAAGGCTGCTCCGGATTCTGTCTCCCTTTCTCTCTGCCCCTCCCCCGCTCACACTCTGTCTCTGTCTCTCTCAAGAATAAACATTAAAAAAAAAAAAAAAGAAATATTTCTAATTCACAAAAGGCATTCATGATAACCTTGAAGGAAGCACCAAAAATCTTCCAGAATGTTATAGTGGCTGTTTTTCTTTTTCTTTTCTTTAAAAATATAAATAAATCATTCCCTATTCCCTGCAAACAATATGTAGATAATTTTTAAAAGCAGCATTGGGGGGGGGGATGCTAAGCTTTATCATTATGTGATTTAAGAGAATGAGTATAAAATTCTGAATCTCTCTAAGTATTTATCCAAATGGCATCCTACATAATATCCTGGCCCCAGGCTAGGTACTAGGCACTAGGGCCACAGACTCTGGTCTAGAGATGTTCTAAAAAGCCCCTGGGGAAACAAAGCCTTCAGAAGCTATCTGTTCTACCTCGAAGAGGCAATAAAACATACAATCAGTGTGTTTGCAATTCTCTGTGCTATGATCTTGAGGAATTACCAAGTTGTGGAATAGGGCCTTCAAATGCACAGATCCATTCATCCTAGGATTTCCTCCATAGCTCAAGGGTTTTACTTACTCCTTTTGAATAATGTGCGGATCTATATGTGCAGTTTTACTATCTTGTGGCCAGCACCACACTCCACTGAGTCGCCCAAGACAGAAGAGGAGAGACTGTGCTCTCTCTTCCCGACCCTGCACAACCCCATGTCGCACTGATTCTGACGAAGACGCCTGCTGAGCCCGGCCACTTCTCTCTGTCCCCACGCGGCACCCCTAGCCCACCCTGGCCTCACCCGGATCACAGACACACCCTCCTAACTTGGCTGCCCTGAACATGACCGTTTCACTTCCTCATTGGAAACACTAGGTGCCTGCTCACTGCCTACACTGAGCTGCGGCCCCAAGAGCCACAATAGGTTGCCTGACGGTACATAGTTTGGATTCACTCAACAATAACTATTTACTAAGCTCCTCCTATATGCCAGACACTTTGCTAGGCACTGAGGGACACAACACTGAGCTGAACAGAAACAGCCTTTGGTGAGGAAGCTTACATCTAGTGGGAGAAGACCAAAAATAAATAAATTAAAATGTCAATATATCTTGTATCAGGTTAAGTGCTACAGAGAGGAACAAAAGGAACAGCGTGAGTGGAATGGGGAAGGTAGGGGTGGGGGGAGGGGTTTTTTTGTTGTTTTTTTACGGTGATAAGGGCTAAGTGGTAATGTGGCATTAGAGTGGTGACCTGAAGGAAATGCGAGAATGAGCCTCATGGATATGGTGGTGGTGGTGGAGGGGAGGGGGGGTTTCAAGCCCAGAGAACAGCCAGTGCAAAGACCCTGGGGTAGGAGCTTGTTTGATGCGTGTCAGGAAGAGCAAGGAGGCCAAGTGGCTGGAGCACAGTAAGTGCTCAGGAGAGAAGGAGAACAGGAGGTCGGGAGTGGCTGATGGAGCATGGTTCATGTGGGGCCTTGTAGGTCTTTGTGAACACTTCTGCTTTTACCCACAATGAGATGGGGAAACCTTAGAGGGCTCCAAGCAGGAACGT